TGCACATATGGAACATTTAACAGACTTACCTATTTTTCTTGTAACAAAACCTGAAATATACTTAGTACCAGTAAGTACTTAGTTACGTCTATACCTAATAGACAAATAGGTACTGCCGTTGTCTTGCTGGTAAAGGATGTCGAATAATAGTTCTACGTTATTTTAAGTGAATGGGAAAGTCGAAAACGCTCGGTATTGCATTATTGTTTAACACCTTCGTAGGTACCTTTCTAAAATCGGCTTCATTCCCCGCAAAATGCATTATGGTGGGAGTAAATTTTTCTCTTCGAATGGCTCTGATCCATTGGCCCTTTAAACTTTTATCCGTTGAAAATCAGCGTATTATTTAAAAATTTATCGACAGAGTACATGTTGATAGGCACAAGTTAACCTAAGTTTATTGGTTTATTCTCAACAGAAATTTATCTGTTCACTAATTCGAGCTAATCACGAGAATGATTAATGAACGGAACATCTAAAATATCAGCTTATTTCATTATATTGCATATCATCTCAGCGATTTTTGCCCCGCGGTGCATTGTGTGTTGCATACTGTGTCGACAACACCTTAGATACGTTAAGCGCAGTCTAGTTATAGCAAGTCTCTGAAATTTTCAAAACAAGTTATTGCAACGATTATTCCTGAAGTTTGTGCTGCGATAATAGACGCTCTACGACATGAAATTAAGGTAGGTAAGATACTTTCTTCACGATCATATTGTAATCAGTCTCATAATTGTCATTTTGAAGGATAAGGAAGTTGTGTTTTACAACACTTATTTTTCCAGGAGGGAGGAAAGTAGATTCTCGAGGTTAGTAATGTTCGATTCGAGGTTAGTAATATTTCATTACCTACCTCGATTTAGTTGCTAATATCCTAATGGATGGCGCTCTCATCGTAACTGTCTGACACCGATGACAGCTGATTTAGATGCAAATTGTTCAAAACCGCATTTTAAAAACAATTCTTATTCTTATTATGAGTAATATGGATTATTTTAAGTTCTGTGCTTTTTTTTGTAAATTGCAAATGAACGACCAAACGCGAAAAAGTGAAATAAGTAAATGCGTACCGAAGTAAACACAAGTAGGAGTTGTGATTAACTTTAGCCAGATTACGGGAAATGATGGTTTGTTTCACGTAACCTAAAACTAAACGAGCGCGGTGCTAAATGGTTAAGTAAAAACAAAATAAAAATGAAACCGTTAATTATTAAAGGATCGGTAAGTATATAAAACTCGAACTTGAGTTTAATAAAATTGATTGTTACTTTAGAAAGCCCATTACTGTTTAAATTTCTGGGTGGAAAAGTTCAATTCTTGTCTATAAGACATGGAAACATTGGGTTGCGCTTGCGACCTATGAGAAGAGCAAGGGATGGCAATTTATGGCATCATAATGTTGCATATCGGAGACGTCGTAGCACTACCTGAAGAGGATACTGCCATACTTTGTTATTTTCGCGTGCCCGTAAAGCGAATGGGTCACTGAATTGGCGACGAAACCTCCTGCTAGTGCAGCCAATCTACAGCCACCGAACTGTTTTAAGTTGAAGAACTCTACTGGCACTTGCTAATATTGTAGCGATCATATGCCAAAAACAATGTCCGGTAATTAAATGTAATTTGTCACATTTTAGAAATAGATAATGCTATTTTTTAGGGCTATCGTATTGGAACAGGTGTTTAGTGACTATCTGATTGGATCTGGAGAATAAATCTTTCGTTATTGACATCTGCACAGATTATAATACTAATATTGTAACCCAGTCTAAATCTGTAATCACAAAAGATCGCTGTAGGTACATTTTAGAATAATAAAACTGACATGGTCATTAGGCATTACCGCATTAGGTTTGAATGTGGATCACAACATTATTTGGTCGTTCATAATGTGGATGATTTTTTTACCTTTACCTCATTAAAATAAGCAAGTAAAACATGAAGTTTTACCTATACCCTTTCCTGCCCACCATTGTTCATTCACTTCAAAAATTCATTCGGGGAGTAAATTTTTTACTACACTCAATTTCCCTTATTTGAGGGGATGTACATTTAAATTCTTTTGTATGGGCCATTTTTTAACATACATGTTAAATTAAATTAGGTAAATTTCCAAATCTGTATTACCGACAACATTTTATGTAGGGCAATAATATTGCAGATGGCGCATAAGATGAATATAATACGTATAAATTTAGTGAATTATTTTATTTTTGATAATGGAATGATTATAATGATGATCGTGAATAAAATCGTATACGAACCTCGACGAAAGGTTATTTTTCTTAGAATATAATCACCCTCGGCGCTGCGCGCCTCGGGTGATTAAAATTCTTCGAAAAATAACCTACTTTCGCACTCGGTGCGTAATATACTATTTTTATATTTATTTCACCAATTGCTATATGCATAGGTTAGGGATAATGTTACAAAAAATATTACATTAAAACTACCGATGCCTATTGAAAATTTGTGAAAAACGTAAGTAACGAGGGTGCTGCAGATTCTTCTGTATGTCTGTCATTAGACTCGTGAACTGTAGATCCCATGCTCATTGCTGAAACTTGTTCTGCATGTTGCAACGGAGCTGTCTGCATAGGAGTTGGAGTTATCTGATGGTTACTCGCCGGTAGGCTTTGATTAGTTGAAAACTGTTGCTGAGAATTTTGATTAGGATTCCCAAGGCTTAGTGAAGGTGAAGGGAATGGTGTCACCGTTGTTGAAGAATGCGCAGAAGCCGAGCTGGAATACTGAGGCTGGAACTGTGATTGCATATGTAATAATGGCTGCCTAAATCTTCCCATTTCAGCGTCAAACAGATTTTGATTTATATAATGCTTGGCTACAATTCTCGAGTGACTATCTAATGTTCTCAACGTTTTCGCAACGTATTCTCCAAATACATCATTATCATCACGAGTAACTGGACGCTCTGATGCAGTCGATTTCAAAATACTATAAACTTCATCTATTCTAGGATCTTCTTTAGGCCTCTTGGCACACGATGATTTTGAAAACAAAGGTCGTTTTAGAGTGCTTTTTGTAGTCGTGGTAGATAAGGGCATCTCACTTTTTTCTTCGTCACATTTGCTTCCAGTTTCCTTTGAGGTTGCTTCCTTTAAGGTTTTATCATTCCTTTCTTCATCTTCACCATCGCCCAGGATTTCATCGTCACCTTCACCGAGGAGCTGCTGGGAATCCTAAAAACCAAGGAAAAACATACAAAAGGTTAAGTTACAAAAATTAATGGTTTTATTAGTTTTGTTCGTGGTCTTGGTGATTAATTTTGGTTAGTTTGTTTATCGCCGCTCTTAAAATTATTTTTGAGTATTACAGAAAATAAATATCTATCAGGTAATTCTCTTTGTTCCAGACACCAACTTCCAGGGAAGAATGGCTCAAAATTTCGGAAGATTACTACAATTTATGGAATTTCCCCCATTGTTTAGGCGCGATAGACGGGAAGCACATAGCTTTACAAGCACCTATCAACAGCGGTTCCGACTACTTTAACTATAAATCGCACTTCAGTATTGTGTTAATGGCAGTTGTTGATGCAAATTACAAATTTATTTATGCAGACGTCGGTTGTCAAGGACGTATTTCCGATGGTGGTGTGTTTAAAAATACTAGTTTCTATCTTGACATGGAATCAAATTCTTTAAACTTGCCAGAAGAAGCGCCCCTCCCAACAACCAATTCTGTCGCACCTTACGTGTTTGTAGCAGATGACGCGTTTCCGCTTATGAAAAATATTGAGTGCGTTTTTAAAGTGTTCCTGCTGGTCGAACACTTTTTAGTTGAACAGAATGATTCATTGGTCGAGCGTGTGTTCGAATCCCGCATTAAAAAACGACGCTTTGTGCAACTAACGTAACCTATATCCCATAGAGTAGTTTGTCTATGTTTATGCTATAACCTCAAACCGCACTCTTTTGAAATTGGTGTTGAAGTATTTTGATATTGTTTAATAATGGATATAAATGAGCAAAACGATGTGATCAATCTTGTATTGGCCCGTGGGCACGCCTTGTTTCACTGTAGCAGTAAGTCCAAGCGTTAAGAAAGTCTTTGTGCAGCATATACATATTTTTAAGGGAAATCAAAGCGGTTTCAGACTCTATTGCAAATAATCACCATTTACAACAAAAGAAGACGACGTCTTACACATAATAGAATTGAGATGTATGAAGACGTAGTACTACGATATTTACACGAAGATTTCCACTCACATTTCAGAATGTCTCGTAGTAGTATGGCTGTCTTAATTAACATTTGTGGTTTATGCAAGGCCTCCAAAAAGATTGTTGGTAGACCAGAAGTGCCTATTTCTTTACAATGTTTAATTTGTGTGTGGGTTTTAGCCAATCAAGAAAGCTATAGGTTTGTATTATGTGAATACCTTGTATAACAAAAATAGTAATCCGTTAATTGCTTCAGATCTATTGGTGATCGCTTCAATGTCTCAAAGAGCTCCATATTTCACTGCCTAATAAGAGTATGTAAAATTCTGAACAGCAAAGGTTCTGTATTTATAAAATGGCCAAAAGGAAATGATGCTATTAAAACAATAGCTGGTTTCAAGGTATTTTTTTTAGTTTCCCTACCTTAGAAGTATTAACATTTTTTCTTTGTAGAAAATAAAATCATTTCCTGGAGTGTTGGGTGCTATAGACGGGTGCCATATTAATATATGTCCACCCAAGCACAATTCTGCCACTTACATCAATAGAAAAGGCAGACCATCTATGATATTACAAGGCGTATGTGACCATAATTGTATATTTACTGACTGCTTTGTGGGATACCCGGGGTCGGTTCATGATGCCCGGGTTTTTCAACATTCTACAGTACGTGTAAAATGTAACGATGATGTACTTTTCCCACAAAGTTCACATTTATTGGGTGATTCAGCCTACCCAATAAATGCACAGCTTTTGACACCTTTTCGAGATAACGGTCACCTAAACCAAAAACAAACAAAATTTAATGTGTGCCATGCTGCTACTAGATCACCAATTGAAAGAGCTTTTGGTATCTTGAAAGCCAGGTGGAGAAGATTAAATTATTTGGAATTACACAATCCTTTTTATATACCACATGTGATTATGGCAGCATGTATATTACACAATTTTTGCACACAACGTTGCGAGGAAGTTCCAGAAATCATTAATGATGATAACGAGGATGGTAAAAGCCAGATACGTAATCGTTTTTCGGATGTAGACACTAGGAAGGGTAATGATAAACGCATTGCTATTATGAATAAACTGTAAACGTGTAATGTTATATTAAGATATAAGAACTAATATACATTTATTCTTGCTCCTTGTTTAGAATATTATTTACTAATTTTTCTAAGAGAGTATTGAAACGGCGTTTCTCCACCATCTCTTCTTCATGTTGTTGTTTGTTTTGCTTTAATATAGAGTTTAATAAATCGGACATATCACATGACGACTTCCTTTTTCTGTTACTGCTCTCTGGAGTGTTGGACCGTGTATTTCGAGGAGAATCTTCTGCTGACATGGATGGTTGACTACCACTACACACTGTTATCTCGCCATTATTAATTACTACTGGTGGTTGAACAGTTGGATTCCCTTTCAGAAGTTCATCCATAAGATCAAAGTACTGCCAATTTTTGCGCCCTCTGCCTGTTTCATTATTGTGGTCTTTTACATTTTTGTATGTACGTAACAAACTTTTCCACTTATTTTGTATCTGGTCCCATGTGTAAGAACTGGACTCTTCATTATTTATATTGGTAGCTATCCTGCAATAAAATGCACATTAGTACATTAAAAAAATAATAAAAAAATTAAATCACTTTTTCCAAATATGTCGTTTTAAGGAGTTCTTTTTTTCTAAGTCATTCTTATGTTTTCGGTATTCATCAATTAGCACTAATATTGCAGAGTGAGACCACTTTGCATTGTCATTTTCCATCGAAACAGTTGCATTTTCCTTATCACACAAAGCATCTTCTTGCGAGTCTTCTTGTGTTTCTGTTACAACTTCGTCAGGTGCTCCACCAGCAGTGATATCTAAATCAAACCAATAAAAACAAAATATGCTTAAAGGTCAACATACCTTCATCACAATAAATTACATTGTTTGCCCCTATGCTTAATAAACATTTGCCAGCAAAACATCGGTGCTTTTCAACTTCCGTCCACGTTAAATTTTTTGATTTACAATAAAAACAATTAAACACCTGAACTACGTCTGCCATTTTGTCGAAATGTTAGGTTATGACTTTTAAAGCACCACCTGCAGACCTGGTGCTTGAAATGCAAACTCGAACACAACACTCGAACTAAATAAGTAATTTAAAAACGCGGAACGTTTCTGTTCGACTGCATTAAAAAACGCTCTTATTATGAAACCCTATACAGGATCCTGGGAAAAAGGTACAAAAGAAAGAGCTTTCAATTATCGACTGAGTAGAGCGCGACGAATTGTTGAAAATGCATTCGGCATATTATCGTCTGTATTCAGAGTGTTCAGGAAACCAATGCTGTTAAATCCTGATAAAGCAACTCTTGTTGTGCTTGCATGTTTATATCTACACAACTTTTTAAGAAATCGCAAAAACTATAATAATTTTACCGAGAAGTCAGGTGTAGAAAAAAAAGTACGCAAGGGAACGATTACCAAGAAAGATCGGCGTTTAGCTCTTTTCGATGTATTCCTCGAAAAACAGCCGAAAATGTAAAAAAAATCAGGGATACGTTTGCGGAATTTTGCAAAACAGAACGCGTTTCATGGCAAGACGATTATGAGTAGGTTATCTATATATTGTTATTAACTATTATTGTTCGTTACGGTAAAATATGTATCTGAATAAAAATTCTTACTTCTGAAGTATTTTGTGTTTTCCGTGGAGTATAACGATCTGACATAAATGCCAAAGCATCATAAGCAAACCAGGTGGGAGTATATTTGTCAGCTGTCGCCATGCCTGAATGAGTAACATCTTTGACTTTTTGTCTCTCCCTTCTATACGACGCCTAAAAAAAATAATAAATATTACATTACCTACAGACCATATACCTAAAAATAGGTACCCACCTATGCAAAAATCTGGAACTTTTAAGTTCAATTAAAATTTTAATAACAAAGAAAATTAAGGAACAATGTTTAATAAATCATTAACTTACCTGTAAACTCTTCCATTTCTTTTTTACTTCTTCTGGTGTACTATTGTAAGTACGAGCTAATTCGGACCACGCATCATTCTTTTTCCTTGTAATTTTGTAAAAGGGATTTTGGCTATCCCATAGCATTGCCAACTTTTCCACATCTTTTATAAAAGAAATAACTATGTCGTTGGACCATTCCATGAGGCTTAACACGCAAAATCAATCAACACTGCTAGTTTAACTCAACCTGTTGACTCAACTGCCACTTTTCGTTTGCAAATGCAACAGCGACCGTTCGTTCCCCGTCCAGACCTGACGATCGCGATCAAACACGAACGAGCATTTTCCTTTGATGTACCGACCGACGGCGGATCGCGTTCGCCGACGTTTGTCGTTGCTTCTTCATGCCTTTTTAGACACAAACAACATTTTAAAATTATAAACACAATTTACTTACTGCACTCATTAATTTCTTTTTGTGTATCCGTGTCATCCGGAGGTAGTGGTGGTAAATTACGAATTAAAGTTATACATCATCATCTTCAACATTCTCATTTTCACTACTACTAGAATGGATTAATTTCTTAACAGGCTTCCTCTTTCTTTTTCTTTTATTGGTTCCTGGTTCTGATTCTGTTGCAGTTCCAACTTCGGATTCTATTTCAGCATCTTTTAACTTTTGCCTTGCCTTTAGAAGATCATCTATAAGCAATTCAAAAAGATCTATTATTATAAATAACTACGTACTACTACTACCACAGCTTACTTATACCCAGCTCTACAACTATGAGCGTCACCTTTGATGTGGCGGTCGACAACAAGGCGAGACGGAATGGTGCAAGGTTTCTCTAGGTTGCGGTAGAAGTCGGGGTATGCTCAATGTTATTGCCTCATTGAAGATTATTACGTGGCTGCTGTCTTTTACGGCGGAGCATGCCGCAATCCGTTTTCGCCAACAGAGTTGTGCAGCTGTATGTAAGTAAGCTGTGCTTTGGTACTATTATATAAAATTGTCATGTCTCAATTCAATAGGTATATCAAAAAGTGAATGACCTACTAACCAGTAGAATAATACGTTTTTTTAATCTGGTAAATTTTCCAATCATCACCAGGAGGTGTGGTACCTGTTAGCGCTTTATTGTATTGTATAGGCTGTTTATAAGGAGGCCAGAAAGTCTCTTTTTTCCTGGGAGTTAACCAGTCTTCCTGCACGATCCCTAAACCTCATCCCGAGGATTGTGCGAACTCCACCACATGAAATCGCATCTAAATCAAATAAGGACATGTATGTTCTATTCCATTTAAGTTTTCAAACAGTTTTAAGCTGCTGTTAATTTGTAAGTCAAAAGGTCCGAAAAGCGCTTGTGTAAAACTTGTATATAACTACATTGTGTGAACATTTTATCAAAATAATCACCCTAAACAATAGGATTATTAGGTTAGGTACAAACATAACTTACCTCGGAATTGTGCTTTTAACCACCAAAATTATAAGACACTTTGTTGAGCTGTATCACTACGTGTCGCGGGAAAATGGAAATGGTTATTTTAGACTGGTTCACTTTTATAATAAACAGCGTTTTAACGGGTTCTAGGGGCATTTCAGACAACATTTGGCCAAATAGGCGTTTTTTACTAATTTGGACCTGCTGAACACGAATATCGATGTTGGCACCTCGAAATCTGAACAGGAAGTCCAGAATTCAAGATGGCGGCCAATTTCCGAAAATGTTGATATTTTCACTCTTGCGACCGATTTTTTCGATCTAAAAACGGATTATAATGTTATTCCTGACGGAGGTACGGCACGATAATAATAATGAACAAATGTTTAAACAATGATTTCATAGTTTTTCTAAAGCCTAATTTACATTTGGTAAGTTTACTGGCGGAAAGTACTTTCTGCCAGTAAACTTGCTATACCCTATTTCTATTTAACTGGCACTTTCCGCGCATTTACACGTGGCAAGTTTACTGACCGACAGTACTTTCCGCCAGTAAACTTGCCAAATGTAAATTAGGCTTAACGTCAAAGTGCGTAAAAGTGGATTCCTTTTTTTCATAGTACTATGGCTACTGTTTAAATTTCTTCACATCGTATAATTATTAAATTATTTCTGTTTTGGCAAGCATTTTGGTTTCTATGCGTCGTGTGAAAGATATCCGCGATGGTCCATGACCTCATATGGAATAACTTTTATTAGAGGAAAACAAAAGAAATCTTGTCGCATCACCTTGAAGAGGCCTCATTTGAAGGCGTAGGTACTGGTAATAGCGAGAGGCTTCAATGATGAAAGAAAAGTTTTCTGTAACCGTCATACGACACAGATTTCCTCCTTAGAACTAGAAGCTTTTCACATCAAGGACGCGGATACTAGAAAAACGCTACAGATACAGATGCATTCCTGTTGCTTCTTCATCACTTCGAAGTTTCAAGAGATGCGAAGCTTTAGGTAGATCTAACAATTCTGAACTCCATTCTCTTGCGATTCCATCTAATCTTCTCTAGCATTTGATCCATTTCCATCATTACGGCATATCAGGTGTAAATCTCAAGATGTACTTTTTTCATCTTATAAACTATGAAATGTCGCTCAGACTACCTTATCTATCCTGAATTGAAAATAGCTACATTCCCATTCTCCCAACGTTAGATTAATTCCGAAGGCTGCTCTAGATATCGTCCTTTGTCGTTGTAAATAGAATTGCTCGTCAAAACTTTGTAAAAATATCGCAAAGCTCAATTGATTTGTACTACCTAATTGTCAAGAAGACGATTGACCTAACACCATAAGAATAACGAAGGTGTTAATAAATTTGTATTCACTTTTCTATGTTTTCATCCTTTAATAATAATAATATATCCTGAGGAACGGTAATTAATACCTAGCAAAATAAGAATCTTCCGAAACACCGCAGTATAGTTGAACTCCCTTCATTTTTTTCAGTTAAAAATTAACGTAAAATTCGAAAGATAGTGTTTATCAAAACTTTATAAGGAGAATTATGCAATATAAACGCATGTCGGGAATACTTAGGTATATGTGTCAGGATTACTGGAAACAATCGTTTTGCATGTGTTATGTCTTCAAATGTAATTAAAGACAGATCATTTATAGATCTATTTATTAATAATGATTAAACTACAAACACATTGTAGTACGTTCTAGACGATTCTACCATTCTGGTTTACAGTGTCTCCGTTGCCTATGTCTATCTTACATCTAAAGCTGTGTATACACTTATTACATTACATCCCCCTTTTCCAACTACATTTAGTCCTTATATCTAGCCGGTGTGTGTACTATTCTACCTGATCTAGTTACATAATTATCCTGATTTAATTTAACACTAGGATTATCCGTAATTACAGGTTGTACGATAGTTTCGGTTTCTACATCATTCGTCTTATAGTTAATTTTGTTATACCAATGATTATTATCAATATCCCTAGGAGGTATTTCATCATTTAAATTTTGCTTTAGGTTCATTTGGTTATGTGAATGTCTAATATCAATTGAATTGCGTCTTTTATTTCTAGAGTATTCATCGCTTATTATGTACGATCTTGGAGAAGAATGCTTAGAAATAATTTGAGCAGGTTTCCAAGTTTTACTATTATGATCTCTATAAACTATATTTTCTCCCTTCCAAAAGTCTTTTCTATTTCTAGAACCTCTATTATAATAAAATTCAGTTTTTTGCTTTTTGTTATTTAAAAATTTGTCAAACTGTTTTACAACCTTTGGATTTAATGCATCATTTAAAATTGGTAACTTAGTTTTTGTCATTCTGCTCATAAGTAACTGTGCTGGTGAGTATTGTGAGCCTAACACTGGAGTATTACGATATTCTAACAACATTAGTTCTTTGTCTGTATTTGATTCTTTAGCCTTTTTTAAAATGTTTTTTGCGATACCCACTGCTTTCTCTGCTAATCCATTGCTTTTAGGATACCTAGGAGAAGATGTAACAATTTCAAATCTCCACTCCTTTGCAAATTTGTGCATACTGTATGAATTGAAAGGCATATTATCAGCTATTAAAATGTACGGTATTCCATGTTTTGAGAATATGACTTTTAAAGCTTTTATTTCTGCAGAATCTTTTGTTGATATTTTAACAAGTTCTAACCATTTCGAAAAATAATCAATTAAAACTAAATATTGTTCATTTCCCAATTGTAAAATATCACAACCTACTTTTT